CAATTTTGAACTTTATAGAGATGGAATCATACAGTATGCATTCCTTTGTGTAGTCTTATTTCCCTTAGCATTAATTTTTGTGAGATTTATCCATGTTGTTGCATGGAGGTATATCTTATATATTTTCTGACTGTGGAATTATAATGTGTAAATATACCACAATTTTTAATTCGATTATTAATATGTGTGTCATAACAAGGCCGAGGGAATTCTTTTTTTAAAAAAAAATGTATTTTATTGAGTTTTTACAGAGAGGAAAGGAGAGAGATAGTTAGAAATATCAATGAGAGAGAAACATCGACCAGCTGCCTCCTGCACACTCCCCACCGGGGATGTGCCCGCAACCAAGGTACATGCCCTTGACCGGAATCGAACCCGGGACCTCTCAGTCCGCAGGCAGACGCTCTATCCACTGAGCCGAACCGGTTTTGGCTAAACTCAGAAATCTTGATGGGAATTTCAGAATGCCTCTCCACCCTCACCTTCATGCAGTCCATGGGAATGAAGGAAGGTCATTTTCCCAATAGAAGTGAGGGGTCATTTTTGCTCTGCGTTGGTCGTGTTTAGTTTTATGGACTCCTTACTGGATATGATTGTTTCTTCACAAGAAAGCGATTTAGGTTGCAGGGAAACCCCACCTAGTTTTCATTTTCCCCAAAGGCACCGAGCCTGCTTCCCCGCCACTGCCCTGGGAGTGGTGGTGTGGACTGGACCTAGCACAGCCCGCAGACAGACCCACCAATCAGCAGGGAGGGCACTGGCGCTAAAACTTAGCTATAAATTGAAAAGTCCTCTTTACTAGCTATGAAATGGCCTCTCCAGAGCCAAGTTCAACAGGAATAAGAATGTCAGGACCCACCTGAACCTGGCCCTGCCTCGCTCGTCAGCACCTTCTCTTCCTTCCAGCCCTGGTTCCGGAGGCTTTCCAACGTGCCCAAACCCTTCAGAACGCAGCTGTTCAGTGCCAGAGCCGCGCCGGGTCAGGGCTGCCCTGTTACCATCCTGGGCTTTTGTCAGGAAATGGTTAGGGCCTGCAGAGCACTGAGCAGTTTCTGGCACGGAGTAAGCCGCTGCAGTGGCAGCAGTGGCCTCACTGTCGTCATGGTCTCCCTGGGGCCCCGGGGCCACCGCTGCCACTCCCGCAGGTCTCCCGGGCCAGCTCTCCTCCCGCTGGGGCCTGAGCCTCACTCCATCTCCTACCACCACCGCTCTTATTTTTCCTGCCCCTGGCAATTTCGAATTGAGTCTTCTGAGATAAAAAGTATCTTTCCTGGCCTCCGTTGTTCCTAACTCATTCAGAGTTTCTGTCCTTAGGATTTTCTGCCCAGGAACAAAACTTTTAAATGTCCTTAAAATTTTGAAACTCTCAAGTAAAACAAAACATAGGTGAAATAGATGTTTTCACAGTGCCCCCGAGGGTGAGTGCTGAGGCCTTGGACAGTTAGTCTCTGAGCTTCCATTTCCTCACCTATAAAATGGGCGCTGACGAGCAGGTTTGCCCTCAGTGGTGTTGAGTGAATTAAGCGAGATGTGTGTGATGTGCTCATCTCAGGGCTCGCCCGGGGGAGGGTTCAGGACATGGCGGCTGCAGCTGCTCCAGCTGTTTCTCCACTCTTCCCACTCTCACCACCAGTAGCATCGGCTTCACCTCTTGTTTATCTACATTTTTCCCTTAGCTTGAAAACCTACTTCAAGTTTTTTATTGTAAGAGATCCCTTTGAAAGACTGATATCTGCTTTTAAGGACAAGTTCGTCCACAATCCCCGCTTTGAACCCTGGTACAGGCACGAGATTGCCCCCGGCATCATCAGGAAGTACAGGCGGAACCGGACAGAGACCCGGGGCATCCAGTTTGAAGATTTTGTGCGCTACCTGGGCGATCCAAACCACAGATGGCTGGACCTCCAGTTTGGGGACCACATCATTCACTGGGTGACGTACGTCGAGCTGTGCGCGCCCTGCGAGATATCATACAGTGTGATTGGTCATCACGAGACCCTGGAGGATGACGCCCCATACATCTTAAAAGAGGCGGGCATAGACCACCTGGTGTCATACCCCACCATCCCTCCGGGCATCACCGTGTACAACAAAACCAAGATGGAGCACTACTTCCTGGGCATCAGCAAGCGGGACATCCGGCGCCTGTATGCCCGTTTTGAAGGGGACTTCAAGCTCTTTGGGTATCAGAAGCCAGATTTTTTGCTAAACTAATGTGTAGATCTGTGAACTCAGATACCTCTGTTAGACCAGAGGCTAAGCAAGTGGAGATCTGAGCACAGAACTGACACTTCTTCAATCTCACCCCTCAAGACTCCTGCGGGCACCCACAGGCCATGTGCACCTCGGCCGGTGAAGCTGCACCCGACGGTTCTGGCTTAGTGTGAACATCAGGTGCATTGAGGGCCTCGCCCCCACGCCCACCAATGCCATGAGGCCTTTGGTCCCAGAAGGGTAAAAGGACTAAACATCTGCAGTCTGACAGACCAGGAGGAGCAGTTACATGGCACAGGCGTCACTTCCCTCGGCTGTCAAGGAGGGGAAGGGCCTGCCTGTCACCGGGGGACGGCAGGAAGCGCACCTCGCGCTTTCAGGAGACCTGAGGAGCTGATGGTGAGCAGAACTGGCAGGAGCTAATGCAAGACCAAGTCTGTGAAATAAAATGACAGCGCTGGCTCTCATCTTGGCGCTGCTGTAATCACGGAGGCAAACCATTCTTTCCACGACTGTCTCCTTCCTGTGGGATTCGGGGTGACCCTAGGACACTTTTTGGCAGTCTGTCCTTTCAGAATACACGCCTGAGCACCCCTGGTCCATATTTCCGATCCTCTGTCTGCCAGGTGGTTTTCTCATTGAGCCCGAGAGCTACATATTCAGAAAAAGGGGAGTGGAGTGTTCTTCCCACCTGAGAAGCGAACGTCTTTGGGAAAAGGAAGAGCTGGTGGGTTCTGGAGCTCAGGCTGCTGTGGATGTGGGCGTGCCCGTCCTGATGGCTGTCCCTCTCTTATCTTTGTTCCACCTGGATGGGCAGCATCCCCCCAGACCCCCCGCCCTGGGGCTGAAGGCCAGCAGGGCAGCGTGGCAGTCCGTGCAGTTTACATGGTCCAGTTTCATCTCAGCCAGTTGCTCCCTGGACCTGTTTTGTTAGTGCCGTCATCCCGGGCTGTAAGTTGGACGATGAGGTTCACCAGCAATAAAATCCTGGGCCGAGACAGCCTCCAGAAATGCATCTCCCAGGCACCGAGGAGCGAGCTGAGGCCACCATGTCAGGTGCCTGCTGACACCGACTGTTTCCCTGTGAGAAGTCCCACGCGCCATGAGCCCAGCTTTTCTTCCAGGCAGCTTCCCCCTTCCCTTTCTTAAAGGGGCCGCCTGAGTCTGTGAATGTGAAAGTAATAAATAAAAACTGTCCAAACCCGACACGTGCTGCGCTTTGTGGGGGCTCTCTGTGGCCCCACACGGTCCCCGCGACCTGGCCCCAGCGACCTGGCCCCAGCGAGGGGCCTGCAAGACTGCTCTAGCGGCTGCTGGTGGCAGCACCACAGAAGGAGAGGCCCAAGTGTGACAGGCCCTAGCGCTGACCAAGGGGCGTCAGTGTGGTAGCCTGTCATCAGCTGACAGGCAGGGGATGTCACATGAGCTTTTTCTGTAAAGTCTTGTGAAAATCATTTCACACCTGATCAGCCAATTGATTACCTCTTTCCTATTTGCAGTGTAACACTGTGAATAATACATTTGAGTCTAAGGCCTTAAAGTTACAACTAATTTTTAAAAAACACCTATCTTCTCAGAAATAAAGGTTAGAAAGCTGTGTCCCCATGTGTCCCCAATCCTCTGGCTTTTAGATTTAGGTCACTTTTCTTTGGCATTTCAGTCATTTTCCTAACAGATTTTGCCCAACAAACAGGGTTGGCCACCAGAACATCTGGACATTTCACAGGATGTCCCAAACGTCCATTCCTCACCACCACCCCTATGCTGTAGCTCCCGACTCCACACAGCACCCTACTGCGGTCATCTCCACCAGAATCATTCGCTCATTCCCTCTCCAAAGCCCACTTCCTCCCCCGCCCCCCCCCCATACGCCCCCTCTCGAACCTCAGGAGGAGGTGCTAGTTCTCCTGTCACCCAGACCCTTTCCCCCTCACTGCCGCCCAGAGGGAGCTTTGAGGATGCAGCCTGGAGCCAACACTCAACACTGCTGGTCCTTCCTGGAAACAAACACCGCCTGTGCTCGGTCCTCCCTCACTGGCAGGTGTCGCCTGGGCAGCTGTCTCAACCTGTGCCCATGCTGCTCCAGGAGCCCTGTGTCCTCAGCCCTGGGCCTTTGCGGCTGACCCTGGACCTGCCAAGGTGTAGGGTGGAGGGTCCCGACAGGAAGGGGCACTAAGGTGGGTGTGGGGCTGGGGTGCCCCCAAGGCGCAGTGCTCACAGCTCATTCCCTTCCCAGGTAAGGGGATGGGTAGCAGCAGGAGACGGTGGCTGGGGGAAATGTCAGGGTGAGAACCCAGTGGATGGAGTGTCATCCTGTACACCAAAAGGTTGCGGCTTTGATTCCTGGTCAGGGTGCATGTGGGAGGCAGCTGATCGATGTTTCTCTCATCCTCATTTTAGGCTTTCTTTGTGTCCAATGGCCTGAAGTCTCAGAGTGTAATAATAAAAATTTTACTCAATATTTGTGTACATTGTGCTCCAGTCTCATAGCAAGACTGAGGAGTCAGTGGGTGAGGGAGAAAATCTAGGTGTTGCCTTTATTGCGTTTCATTCAGGCCCCTGGGACAATGACCACAGGGACGTGCCCATCAGCACATTTGCGATGAGGATGCAGGCCCTGTTCACGTAGGATTCACGTTGTGTGCAGAGAAAACGCTGGTCCCCACACCCTCTGCTGCCCCCGCCTCCTGATGGTGTGGCACCCGCAGCATCGGGGGGGGACTGTTAGCCCCTGGTGCTACTATAACAGCACTTCTGACATAACTGGCCCGAGGATTGGTTGTTTCCTTTAATGTGCAATCTAAATTGGACCTGAACTTTTATAAAATATGAACTACCTGGACTGTGGTAACAGCTGAAATGTAGAGCATTAGAAGTTGTTACTCTTCGTAAAGAAAAAAGTGTGAACAATTTGAAAACCAACAACTTTTCCTGCATTCGTCACCCTGATACCTGCCGAGGCTCCAGAGAGCAGGGCCTTCTCATTTCTGCCGGAGCCGGAGCTGCTGGAGCCTTCAGGGCTTAGGAACGTTAAATGGTAATTGTGACACATTGCGGAATGCTGAGTGTGGATTGGGGTTAAGAGTGAGAAACTGCAGGAGGCTGCAGCCTTAGGGAGGTTTCTACTCTTTCATGGGTTTTCCCCCTTTAAC